CTCGTGCACTGAATTCGAGAGTGGAAAAAAATGGTCATACGTCTTATTATCACTGGCCTTCCTTGATCTGTCGGTACCCATTGTTTGCTGTTAATGAGCCTTCCTTGATCTCTCAGTACCCATTGTTTGCTGTTAATGAGCCTTACTTGATCTCTCGGTACCCATTATTTGTGTTAATGAGCCTTACTTGATCTTTCGGTACTAATTATTTGTTGTTCATGAGCCTTCCTTGATCTCTCGGTACCCATTGTTTGTTGTTTATGAGTCTTCCTTGATCTCTCGATACCCATTGTTTGTTGTTAATCAGCCTTACTTGATCTCTCAGTACCCATTGTTTGTTGTTAATCAGCCTTCCTTGATCCCTCGATACCCATTGTTTGTTGTTAATGAGCCTAACTTGATCTCTCAGTACCCTTTGTTTGCTGTTAATGAGCCTTCCTTGATCTCTCGATACCCATTTTTTTGTTGTTAATGAGCCTTCCTTGATCTCTCGATATCCATCGTTTGTTGTTAATGAGTCTTCCTTGATCTCTCGGTACCCATTGTTTGTTGTTAATGAGTCTTCCTTGATCTCTCGATACCCATTGTTTGTTGTTAGTCAGCCTTACTTGATCTCTCAGTACCCATTGTTTGTTGTTTATCAGCCTTACTTGATCTCTCAGTACCCATTGTTTGTTGTTAATGAGTCTTCCTTGATCTCTCGGTACCCATTGTTTGTTGTTAATGAGTCTTCCTTGATCTCTTGATACCCAATGTTTGTTGCTAATGAGTCTTCCTTGATCTCACAGTACCCATTGTTTGCTGTTAATGAGCCTTCCTTGATCACTCGATACCCATTGTTTGTTGTTAATGAGCCTTCCTTGATTTCTCGGTACTCATTGTTTGCTGGTAATGAGCCTTACTTGATCTCATGATACCCATTGTTTGTTGTTAATGAGTCTTCCTTGATCTCTCGGTACACATTGTTCGTGTTAATGAGTCTTTCTTGATTTCTCGGTACCCATTGTTTGTTGTTAATGAGCCTCTGGGGTTAAAATTAATAGACCATGTCTCTTCCCCTTTAAGTAAATCAGATAGCTTTCTTAAGTCGTAATTAATGATTTTTTTCAATATGTCCTTAGCACATTTCAAACGTTTGGCCTTTTGTTCAGATGTTAGCAACTGAAGGATCTAATGGGCACAAAGCTTCTTTAATTTCTAGCACTTGTTCAGAATGTGATGTGTATAGCTCTCTCAGAAACAATATATGGACCATCATGCTTTATCATTGCTTTCGCACAGCGTTGCTCTGTAATGCTGCAACAACCGGCAAGCCTCTTTGATGTCAACTTTACCTTTCTTGGATTTGTTCACCAACCTAACACAGTGTTCAGTGTGACGTCAGAAGTGCCTTTTATGGTAGACAACTCGCCATATATCTGTTTTAACTTGGCGGTATCTGTAAAGCACACCATGCTTTAATATCGGAGCGTAATTCAGATTAAGTCTCAATCTTCATTAGCATTAAAAAGTAGCCTTTAGTCACGGGTGCATACCATTTAACACTGAAAAACTCGTTAAATAATTATCGCATGATGTCACAATTTTGCACGTGCATATTCTTTAAACAGTTCTGCAGTCTACCCATTCAATGTGCTGAACTAGTTTATTGTCCGTTCTATTGACAGAATTAATTAGTTGGTCCTTGTAAATAAGTAGAAAAGTGTTGGTCACACCATCGATCGACTGAAATCAAGGACACTGCAGACTACTTCAGCCGCTTCCCTCGATCGTACCAACAGGAATGGCTTACTTTCTACTAAGCTATTCGATAAGCGGGACGATTCAGAATTTCTGGTAGTGAACTTGATTTTTCTTTATAGTAATATCCCTGATTCCCCTACATACGATGTTTTCATGTTTCCAGACCGAAATTAAGGGGAGGCTATTCCGTCTTTGCGTATTGCAGAGTTATCTTCTCTTGGGAGCAGGTATTGATTGTTACGTCATTGGTTTGTGCGAGAAAATTACGTCGTTTTCTCAAAAAGTGATGACGTTACTCTCCCAAACAAGTGATGTAACAATCAATACCTGCTCCCAAGATAAGATAACTCTGCAATACGCAAAGACGGAGTTGTATACATAAGAAAAACCAGAGTGGAATATACAATTATGTTTCATATTTCACGCTTATTTTATAAGCAGCAGTTTTGCACTTCATTAGTGGTGCTTTTGCATATTTTGGTTTTAATTCATGAATCACATTCTGTTTCTTCATTTTACATTCTTTTTTATTTATGACTTTCAGTAGTTCAGACATTTATTCATATCATGGATGGTCGGGTGGTGCAGTGTATAGTCCACTTGCCTTTCACCAAGGCGGCCGGGGTTCGATTTTCCGGATCGGACATGAAAAGATATGGGGTCGATCACGTGGGTTTTCTCCCACACTAAGACCCCCACACGCTTACATCCGGGAAAACAAGAGTGATTAATATAAGTTGACATAACTTGTTTCATACTTGTTGTAAAATAAATAAATTTTATATTTATATATTATTCATATAATGGTGAATGGACAATTTGTACACCAGGCTTGTTAAGGATGTTAAACAAGTTTCTATATTAAAATAATTAGTTCTTTTCTACACTTAACAATTTATACGCTCAAAGGCCATGATAAACAATGTATCAACACAAAAACACACTGCTCTACTAAATCATATAAACACACAAACACAACTCGGTTTACATTTGGCTATGCTTTAATTTTAATTTTAAGATTGAAAAAATGAAATTTTATAATCAAATGGTAATCTACTGTTTTTAATATTATGAATTTTGACACGTCAGTAAAATTTGGAACACATTTAATCAATGTTGCAGCATAGAAATACACAGTTTTTTATTATGCAAATAAAGAAAATGAGAAGTAACCGTAGCGGATTGATAATATAGTATTTACATGTGTAACAAAGAGATAAAATATTAACTAACAAAGATATAGCCATATTCAACAAAATAACCTTTCTAAAAACTAACAAAACATAGATATATATTTTAGAAAAAATAAAGATGTCTTATAATAACTAATATTTGACTTAATCAAATATGTAAATATTTATTTTTACCTTAAAAAGGTCTGAGTGCCACGATAGTGTACATTTATTATACATATATATATCAACAATTATTGATTTATCTACATATATGACTAACTATTCAAGAAAAGAGTTGAGGAGAAACAAGAAAAGCTCTGATTTTTTTTCCCTTAACCATATCTATTTGTTTTGCAGAAAATTTGAAATTAAATCAAATTGGAACTAATTACAAAATGTACCGTGGGCTGCAGTGTCACAATGTTTTTGAGACAAGTGTACTACTGAAATCCACGTCAGTATAAGAGTTATTTTAACATCTCAGCAAAGTTGGAAAACAATGGCAATGTACATTTCAAAAATAGTTCCATCAAGGTTATCTCTCTTAGATTAAGAGGTATCAATGTGCCAACTTTAAAACAGATATTTTCTACATTTTATTATTCATATCAAAAAGTCATTAAAACGAAATGGTGAAAACATAAATATGATTATGAAATTAAACACAAGTTGTCACAGTTTATAAGTGAAAAATTAAATTGATACCCTGTTAGCACAAACAAATCTAACAGATGAATGTAAATGCACTTTCACTTCTTTTTACAAGATACACTTTTGGAATTCTCCCAAGAACAAGTATTTTTGGGAGCGATTAATGATCTTTGTATATTTCTAAGGAAGCATTCAACAATGTTTCTATCTAAACCTATGAATTGCTATCTGGAGTTAAAAACCTTTTCATTTTTCTGATATACACAGCAGAACACCACCATGAATAAGAAGGGAGATTCTAACGGTCGATCGTACAGCTTTGTATAGGTACCCAGTGTGTATTTCTCAATAAAGACCATTATGTTATTTGGAAGGAGAGTAAGAGTGAATATTCTACATTCTGAAGTATATTCAAGACTATTTCCAGTCCAAACCGTTTTTTTTATTCCCTTGATTTTAAGGTTTTACTTTAATTCAAGTAAACACTTGTTATAGTGTTCCTATTTTATTTACAGAAAAACCCAGAATCACGCCAGAACAAAGCTTATTAGTGATTAAGTCCTGAACTATAACTGCATGAGAAACGTGGTAAAAATATCAGTTAACAAGGCCAATAAATCATAATTACGTACATAACGTCAAACACAAGTAAAACAGCAACAAGTGATAATGACAGATAGGTTAAAAAGATGAATGAAAATCAAAGGAATAACATGAATTTAATTGTACAAATAAGTATACTTTGAAGCCATTTTTGATAGAATAGTTCAAATGAATTTATGTATAGAAACAAGCATTGTGGTCATAACAACCCTACTTTCTACTGAATGAACAAGTACTTAATGCCTTCTGGTACCTCAAAAGTAGGAGTACAACTAATTTATATATAAAGTAAATGTTTAGGTGGAAACAGCAAGCAGTAGTCAAGCTTTCCATCAGACAATTATCTCTGTGTCATATCTTGTCCAAACTTCTACATACATAAATTTCATTTAGCTTCACAATCACATCACCTGTCACACCACGTAACATCTACACAATCGTTTGATATATCATACTCCATGTATTATATGACACATCATCTATCTAATCACATCACATTTCACATGACAGGTCACATATCTGTATATGACCTGTCTGTCTCATCACATGACATTTCCAAACTGACCTATCTAATGAAATTCAATTATCTTATCATAAGACACTTCACCTTTCTCATGACATTTAACCAGACTCATCACATGACACTTCGCCTTTCTCATCACATGACATTAAACCAGACTCAGCATATGACACTTTGCCTTTCTCATCACATGACATTAAACCAGACTCATCACATGACACTTTACCTTTCTCATCACATGACATTAAACCAGACTCATCACATGACACTTTACTTTCTCATCACATGACATTAAACCAGAGTCATCACATGACACTTTACCTGACTCATTACACAACACTTAAGCTGGCAAATTACATTACACTTCCCTTAGATCATCGCTGCCCATTTCACCTAGTTCATTACAATCCTCCCCCAAAATAGTTCATTCAATGGCATATTATCATACTAATTTATTTCATGACACTTTACCTAAGCTCAACAGCTCATAGCAGGATGTATTTTGTACTTAATCAAGCTCATCATAAAATATGTCACTTATCACATGATATTTAAACTAGCATGTAGTCATTCCACGGTACCATTGTTTTAGGGTTTACAGAAAAGGTAAGATGCAGGTACAACAGTGAAAAGCTATGATATCAAGTTATCATGGTGACAACAGCAGCATCAATAAGAAGAAAATCAACTCCTATTCAGATAATTATCTCCTCCTGTTTCTTGAAATTGTTTCTGTTCAAAACCAAATGATCAGCCTTTTGAGTATTGCTTTTTCTAGCATCTCCCCATGGTAAGAGGAAGAGTGGTCTCCCCTGAACCAATCAGATACTGATGGAGTTGGGGACAACTTCTGGGTCAAGCCACTCGTACGGCGGATTCCTCGTCTTGTTCTTCTCTTTCACATGTCTACTGATCTCCTTCAGTTCCTCACGGAACCTACAACACACACAATTTCTCAGGTGAATTAGGTCCGAAACATTGCATCTATACACAAATATCATACCTTAACACAGCTAGCATTCTTTGTTTAGACACCATAGAATATACCATCCTCAAAATCACAAAATATTACAATAAATCCATGGACAGTTACTCCGACCTAAACGACTGCTTAAGGAAGAGCGTGATATAGGCATAAAATCACAACTTTATTATACCATTGTAGTTCCTCACTGGACATTATAACTGATGGGGTTTTTACAGGTCTACGTTATGAAAGAAACAAAAAACATACTCTTTGACAATTTGTCTGGCTGGTGGATCAAATATATACTGGACTTCAAAGTCACCCAGGCTCTTGGTTCCTTTGTCACTGAGAATCTTAGTAACCACCATCACATCTAATGTAGTCGGTTTGTCAGGGAGGGCTTTCAAAATATCCTTCTCCTCTAGGGGGGTCTGAAAATATACATGTTCATAAAAATATTAACACTCAACTCATGGATTACTTGGAAGTTAAGAAACAAGAGGCCCAGAGGGCCTGTATCGCTCACCAGAATATATGTTTAAAATAACTGGTATGAAGTAAAGATATAGCACTCCATGGTAGGTGCTGTAAGTACATATGAAATTTCAGAAAGATCTATCAAGTACTTGAGATATAGCAAGAACAAACTCCAAACAGAGCACCAGGTCCCTTTTGCCCAAGGATGCTGCAGACTAAATTAGGATAATACCCTTAATTCCTATGGTAGAAGAAGGATTATAAAGGTTTTACCTCTATTTCCCTTATTGGGCCCTGCCCCTCAGGTCCCAGGGGGGGGGCACACCCACCGTTATTACACAATTGGTTCCCCTTTATCCAAGGATGCTCCACACCGAATATGGACTAAACCCTTTCATTCCTACAGAAGAAGAAGGATTTTGAAGAAAATTTGCTATGTTTCCCCTATTTGGCCCCGTCTTTCAGGCCCTGGGGGGCCAGACCCACGGTTTATACAAAATTGCTTTCCCTTTACCCAAGGATGCTTCTTACCAAATATGGAACAAATCCTTTCATTCCTACAGAAGAAAAAGATTTTAAAGAATTTGCTATGTTTCCGCTATTCGGCCCCGGCCCTGTGCCCCAAGGGGGGCAACACCCACCATTTATACAAAATTGAGTCCCCTTGGCCCAAGGATGCTCCAGACTAAATTAGGATAAAATCCCTTAATCCCTACGGTAGGAGAAGGATTTTGGAGGTTTTACCTATTTCCCCTATTCGGTCCCACCCATCTGCCCCAAGGGACGCCACACCCACCATTTATACAAAATTGAGTACCCTTGGCCCAAGGATGCTCCACACTAAATTAGGATAAAATCCCTTAATCCCTACGGTAGAAGAAGGATTTTGAAGGTTTTACCTCTATTTCCCCTATTGGGCCCCACTTCTCAGGCCCTTGGGGGGCCAAACCCACCATTTATCTAAAATTTAGTCTCCTTGGCTTAAGGATGCTCCAGACAAAATTTAGTCAGAATCTACTTGGCCGTTCAGGACTAGTAGCGTTTTAAAGGAAAAGTTGACGGATGGACGGACGGACGACAGACGACTGACAACGCGGTATGGCATAAGCTCACCATGGGTCTTCGGACCAGGTGAGCTAAAAAAAACATAATCTCACAATTTTGTTGAAAACTGCTTGAATAATGTTTTTTTCAGTTTCTGACTGGCTTGGAGAAAAAAATTGATGTATACTTAATTACCTTGTCTGTGGGTGGTTTTCCAGCGAGTGAGGCCGGGTAGTTTGGTGGGAAAGCATACTCATCATACTGTGGAAAGTTGGTGGCTGCATGGGCAACACTACATGTGTAGATGATGCTGGTCAGTATGACGATCAGCTGCTCCTGGTTCTCAATCTTACCATTACCAGGAACACCCTATAGGTGTAAAACATAAGTAAAATCACAGTAGTAGGTACACCCTTTAGGTGCAAAACATGCAGATTAAATAACAACAGTAGGTTCACCCCATGAGTACTCAATTTCTTAGCATTGTCAGGAATGCCCTGTAGGTGTATAACATTAAGTAACAGCAATATCAAAGTTTTGCTTATGCACAAACAATGTACGTATTAAACATGTCACAACATTTCAAGATCGACTGGTCCCTAGCTAGCTGGAAAAGGGACCAGTCGATCTTGACAAAGGTCTTCAGGAACCAGTTAGTCTTGAAATGTTGGAACACGTTTAGTATGTACACTGTTTGTGTACAACACAGGTATAAATGAGACCATAATGAGAATGTTGGGACACCTCTGGTGGTGTGACAGGGCCGGGCACAGGGTCAATGTAGGGCTACAGAGGGGATGGTCAGGCTGTCAGAATAAATCTTGTGACAGTGTTAAGTTATAATCTGGCTGGTAGATTATATTTGGACTATTCAGGCTAAAACTATATAATTATTTTTGCAATATAACTATGGCAAAAAGGATGGACTAACTCTGTATCAGGATGTATGATGAATATATTTTGACCACAGTAAACAAATAAAAAGTAGTGAATTGTACTGACCAGCAGTCCGCAGCCACCCTCCTCACGTGGTTTGACCAGCTCGCCTGCCCAGTTCTGTATCTCCCAGTCGCTGGTGATCTTCTCCGGTGTGTCTGTTACAGGCACAGAGTCAAGTATCAAATTAATGAAAGGTTAATAAAAACAAATTTATATCAGTTTCATCTGTTTACACCTATGTACACATGTACTGATTGTAACATATGCCAGTGTTTAGGCAACTTTTCAACAGAAACATGCCATCATCATAACATTTATAGAAACTAAACAATCTAGAACTGTTACCAGAATGGCAGACTTAAAGCCCTCACCGGCTTACTTTATTCACATCCTCTTAATGTCAATATTATGTGTACCAAGTATCTTTCAAATCAATGCTGTACTTTAGAAGGAGTATATTGTGAACAACATTTTAAACAAAGAGGCATATTTTTTAGGTGGGCGAGGTAGCTCAACTTCATCAACTTCCTTGCATCCTTTCTATAAAAGTGTTGTGTGTATTAGTATCATTTCAATTGGTGCAGTATTTTAGGAGAAGAATGTGTAGTGCAAACAATGCCGTGTCGACAGACAGACAGACAGACAGCGCACAGAACATGATTCTAGTAAATTTCTCCGACTCCTTTGAGGGGGATAATTATAAAGGAAATATTGTCATATTGTTCTAAAGTATTCATCAAAATCATTTGAGGAGTTTGGTATGATATAATTTGACTTACCGTAATAGAGTTTTACATATTTTTTGACGTATGTATTGATTGCATAGTACAGTGGCAGAGCATCAGTACGGAAATGGTAACCAGGCAAGACTTTGGGACTCAACATCTGTAACAGACGATACAAATAAACAATACTTTTACTTCAAATCAACTGGGGAATCTGTGAATATAATGTCAATATGTAGTTTGTCCTTCAAAAGACTGATTTTCGTGAGAAATTTTAACTGTATTGAGCAGTAAATTGTAGAATTGAGTTAATAACTGTTTGATGACACTGAAGCCTGGGGTTTGGTCAATGAAGTTTTTTCATTACAAAGTTTCATAATGGACATGAGAGACGAAGATCTTACCCCGCGAGCCCTCAGGTCCTCTGGTAAGGTGCCGTGCTGGTCCATCCTCCACTCATTGATCCTTAACAAAACAATCAAAAGTATGATTATCAACACTATATCCACATTTATTATAAACTAGATAACTGATATTTCCCCTGGGTATTTGAATACATGATTGCCTTAATCCTTTTATTGGATATCAGTTCAAGTAACATGCCACTTTTGCAATGCTATGGTGTTTATCCATTTTCAAGAAAACTGTCAACTGCCTTGAGATTTCTTTCCAAAAGCTTCTTTTCAACATTTTATTTAACCAGATAAAAACACACCATTCCACGACCTAGGACTTCCCAGATAACAATACCCTTACAGTAACTTTCTGTTTGTGGAGTTGTCAGACACAAGTTGCCCCTAAAGGACCTATCTCACAATACCGATGTACCTCGCCGGGACTAAACTGGAGCAGAATATTAACAAGGGCGAGAAAATCGGCAGAGCTCCGGCGAGATAGCACTTGAAAAAAAAAATGACCGTATCAAAACCGATGTAGTACAGGCAATCCTGTTGCAATATTGTTGTTCTTCTGTTGTCCTACCGATGTAAGAGCCGAAGTGCTACCGAATACCACTTTTCTGACGTTGGTACATCGGAGGCGCATCAGTGCTACTTTGTTACCAGTACAGTACACATTGAGGCCACCGGAGAGACGCCAATCCATTACAAGGCACTGCTGTTGCTCTACCAACAGCAACGATGCCATACGGGAGTACTACCATTGTAGTCCTGTTGCTCACTCCGGCAGCGTAACAGCGGAAATGTTTGAGGATGTTCAAAAATTTCTACCATGGCAGGACGTTGCTAAATGTTGCTTAATGTTCTGACAATGTACTACCCTCTTAGCGATGTGATACTGTTGAGCTGGGTTACTAGTATCGATCCCCGGAAAATGGCCAAATCTGTGCTCAAGTATAGCTCCGGCGACCTAAATCCGCTAGGTTCGACAGGCCCTTAACATAGAGACTTGAACCGCATCTTGTGTACCCACATACCATGGCTTAAAAGCTTCAGGTCACTACAGAGCTTATGGTCACTAGGGATGTATTCATTATGTTAACAAGCATCACCTACCCACGCCTGATGAGTTCAAACATGCCCTTGATGCCGATGTTCATGGTCTTATCCACCCAGCCTCCTTCTGATACCAGTAACTCCAGACCTCGCCTACAAACAACAGGTTCAACTATAAGTGTACACGTAGACAATATCAGTACAGCCAGAGTCATAATAGACAATGAATGGTTTTTTCATGACAGTATATGTATATCATTTCAATCCCGATCAAAACATATATGGGATAGTTTTTTTTTTATGCAGGATAGAGATTATCTTAATTATTTTACAGTATAAGGGACATTGGTTTGGCAGGGTGGTTAAACTAATGTCAGAAAACTGGAACAGATATAAGTCCAATAAGACAGGGTCTCTCACCTGTCTACATAGTCATGTGACTTAGGGGATAAAATGTATCAGATAGATTTAATCTCATTTAACAGGTTGGTACTTACGTGTTGATGGCTATGAGGTACAGGTAGTGGGGAGCCAGAAGTTTGAACAGAGGGTGTGACTGGGATATGTTTCTGTGTGTCACCACCACCACCCCCTCCATCAACAGGTGCGTAAACCCTAAAACAAATAATGAGGAAATATTGAATAAAAATAATTTATCAACAATCCTTCATGGGATAATTTGGGTTATATCATCAGATTAAGAAACCATATCAAATGTGTTCCGTCTGCATCTATCACCACAAAGTTTCATTGTTTACTGATCAGCAATAAAAAAACATTGATTTTGCCATCATATGTTCAATTTAAATTTCCCATCCATCCAACCATCCAATATATTCCTGAGTACTTAGCTTATCCCCCCTCAAATCTCCGTCATCCCTAGTGATCCTGAAAGTGCCCCCCCCCCCCCCCCCCCCCCCCA